AAGAGTGAAGCAATATGATGTAATTAATTTGTGCTGACATGTTGCACAGTACAGAACTGCCTGACAAACTAGCTGCAGGACAAATCATAACAATAATTTATGATCTTTCAAGAGTTTGGATGCATCTCCTGTGTGCTTCAAGTAAAAGTAGAGTATAATTTCAGGGAGAGCCAGGATCTCAAGGTATGACCGGGCCTAGAGGGCCTCAAGGAGACGGCTTTCCTGGTGCTAAGGTGAGGCATTTAGATGTAGTTCTCAAACATTTTTCACATGATTCGTGATTAACTGGTCTCTGACTGATGATATACTCTCTCCTTGCTACAGGGTGATCGTGGATTACAGGGCGAGAGGGGAATGAAAGGTACAAAAGGAGACATGGGAGATCCTGGAGTCCCTGGTGAAGCAGTAAGTAAAACGTCAATAATCAACCTGCCAATGTCAAGTCTCACAAACACAACCTGAATCTACATTGGGAAAATCCAATTAAAATGGCAAAATGTGGGAGCTGTTATTCAGTGGAGAATGTCATCTTACAATGGCATTTTCAATTCCATCTCCTCGTAAAAAGTATTGTCAGGCAGAGTTAGTAAATTGAGAAATAAAAGTTTCTCCTTGATACTTCTCATAATCTAGAGAAGTAAGTTGAAAGAAGTGTGTGTAGAGTATATGTGTAGCAAGTGTTTGATACATTAGTAATAAAAAGTGACAATATTTTCAACTTTTCTCGAATCCCAGGGGAGGCCAGGAGCAAAAGGAGAAACAGGCCTCACAGTAAGTTTCTCAGTTCAACAAATGGATGACCATTCAGCAAAGTGTTGTCATATTATACTAATTTAAACTTTCCATATTTTTCAGAGAGAAGACATTATTAAGCTGATCAAAGAAATCTGTGGTAAGTCAAATCTAGTTTATTAGTATAACCTTGAAGAAGCTGGTACTTTTCTCATTAACTGCTTTTGATAGTATAGGTATACTATCATCAAATTTTATTAGTTTGGTCCAAGTTCTGGCAGCAGTATATTGTATAAACTACAAATTTACATTTTTATTTATTTATTTATTTATTTTTTGCCATGCTGGGCCGTGATGGATGGCAATGTTGGTCCGTCTGTTGGTCCACCATTTAGGTCCAGATTAAGTCATCTTAACCACTGGATCAGTTACCGTGCAATTGTGTACAGACATTCATGGGCCCCAGAGGATCAACCATATTAACTTAAGTGATCCCCTGACTTTTCCCTTTGCCACCAGTAATTTTGTTTATTACCAAACTAATGACATTCCCATCAGCCTCAGCTGTACTTTATTTTGTACTAATTAGATCATTCCAGCAGGCAAACAAGCTCATCTAAGATTGTAAACCTTGTCATTTTGGGCATGTTGACATTAGCATTTAGCTCAAAGCATCCTTGTGTCAAAATACATCCTTTAAGAGCTTTTTGTGTGGCTGTAAATCTAGCATTAGGTAAACCAGAGTACTGGAAATTCCAGTAGTTCTCTTTCTACAAAAATACACACCTTTTGAACAAATGGTAAAACCTTATGTACCTTATTGCTTTCAGGATGTGGCATCAAGTGCAAGGAAAGGCCCATGGAACTTGTGTTTGTCATCGACAGCTCAGAAAGTGTCGGCCCTGAGAACTTTGAAATCATCAAAGACTTTGTCACACGGCTGGTGGACCGGACCACAGTTGGTCGCAATGCCACCAGAATCGGACTGGTTCTCTACAGTCTGGATGTCCATTTGGAGTTCAACTTGGTTCGGTACATGAACAAACAGGACGTCAAGCAGGCAATCAGAAAAATGCCTTACATGGGTGAGGGTACTTACACTGGCACTGCCATCCGAAAGGCCACACAGGAGGCTTTCTTCAGCGCTCGGCCTGGAGTCAGAAAAGTAGCCATCGTAATCACTGACGGTCAGACCGACAAACGAGAGCCCGTCAAACTTGACATAGCTGTGAGGGAGGCTCATGCTGCAAACATTGAGATGTACGCCCTGGGGATTGTCAATTCGTCTGATCCTACCCAGACTGAGTTCCTGCGAGAACTCAACCTCATTGCCTCTGACCCCGACAGTGAACACATGTACCTTATTGATGACTTCAACACACTACCAGGTGACAATCACAGTCAGATGCTGTAAATACGAGGCCTTCAACAGCGTGTTCATGAAAATATACAGCTAATTGTTATCAGCTGACAGGTTGTCAAGTGCCTAAAATTAACAAATTTCCTGATTTCCTTTTTTCAGCACTGGAGTCTAAACTCGTCAGTCAGTTCTGTGAAGATGAAAATGGCGCACTTATTTACAATCGCATCACAAATGGACACTGGAACGGCAACAATGGGAATGGTATTAATGGGAACAATGGACATGGAGAGAATACCAATGGATATAATGGCTACGGTAATAATGGTTATGCTTATGATTATGGAAAAAATGGATATGGGAACAGCGGGAATGGTTACAATTACCAAGAGGAGATCCAAAATCAGAGACGCACCAACAGCCGAGGCCGTGGAGACACTTTCACACTGCCCATCAGTGCTGATCCTCTCCCGATTCAGGTCTTTGCTAAAATCCATTCTGTGCTGTTTTACTGAAAATATACAATTTTCTCTACTGATGGTCCAAATTCATCACCTCACTGATAAATTTTTATGTTGTCATCTTACTCCAGGTGGTGGAAGATGATGATGGTGAAGATTTAGACATCAGAGCACACATGCGGGGCGGTAGCACTGTGGCTGTAGTTAACAAAACATCATCGCCTGTGAGAGAAAGCTCCGTCTCCAGTGAGGCAGTCATATCATCTTCATCCTCAGCCTCATCTGCAACATCATCGTCAACACTGGGTTCAGTTTCATCCTTAAACTCTAATCAGGTGCAACCGGTGGTGAATCCAGTCCCACCTGGAGGTGAGTGCTGCCCTCCTGCTCAATAGTAGTGTGGACTGCAGTATGGATTTAGGACACGCTGCTATTCTCATTGAGTACATAAATATTCTTTGGAAAATGTGCGTCTCACTCAATATTTCTCCTTCAGAGGCCCCTCTTCTTGATCCCCGCTGTAAGCTCAACCTGGACCAAGGCAGCTGCCGAGACTATAGCATCCGCTGGTACTATGACAAGCAGGCCAACGCCTGTGCACAGTTTTGGTATGGAGGCTGTGGTGGAAATGACAACCGTTACGAAACAGAAGATGAATGCAAGAAGACTTGTGTTCTGTTCAGAACAGGTATGTTTTGGAGATTTTTTTTAAAGCAAATATTCATTTTCATTTTATTATTCTTTTCTGATTATTTTATTTTCCTTTCTCCAGCTGAATAAAAGAAGTGGATCAGAAAGTGGACGTTTCTACTCTACCATGTGCTAATTTGTTGTTTTAATGTGATTCAGTCTGTCACTTGTGTTCAGAAAATTTTATGCACTTTTCTAACACTTTTGTCCTCATGCTAATGCCTTTTTTTTTGGTCAAATAGCAAAGCCATGTTATATAGTCAAACTGCCAAAATGAGTGACTTATAACTTCTACAAAATTGACTATATTACCTCAAAGACATGGTGTTGTGCTTAGTAGACCAGAATAAATCCTTAATTCAGGGTTTAAATGTCCTGGGTCTAAACTGTCACCATCAGGGAATTTATGACAATTAAAAATGAATTCACCTATAGATCATTTACAGTATAGATCTTATACCTTTTTGAGCCATGTGCGTTACATACACTGAATATATTTCTAGCAAGACAGCAATAGTGAGATGTTTGTTTACGTTGTGTTGATAGCATTTGCTGAAATATGCTCTGAGTACTTTTGTGTACAGTCTGTCTGTTACAATGCGTCCTTTCAGGTTATACCTGGCAGCTGTAATAAAGGGCCATGTCTGTGTGGGTCTGCTGTGAATGTCACCTCGTGATGAAGATTTAGGCATTCTGCAATCTATCCATTAAAGGCCTGTCTATTTTTGCAGTGTGTGTATATCTGAATATGTTTTGTATGTTTTTGTAATAATAAAATATAAAATAATGGTGGTTACCCGTTTTGTTTTATTTTGTGCTTATTAAGCAAAGTAACCAGTATCACTATTACCATTGTAACCATCATCTATGTCCACCCTTCTTTGTGTCTCTATTAATAACAGAGGATACAGTCAGTGTCATAAAAGTTTTCTTGGTCATTAGTGTTAAATATTGATAGGTTTTAACTGCCATCAAAAGCTATAGGACACTATTTCAGCTTTTTAGTTTAAATTAGTGTAATGTCATTGGAAATGCAGCACCTAGAATAATACAGAAACTATTGAAAATGTTTTTTGTTCTTAATTGTGAAAAGTACCGTTATCTAACTTTATTTTCTTTCTAATGCAAAGCACATTGAGTTCTCCCCCTGGGCGTGAATTGTGCTATATAAATTAAGTACATCATACCTTACTCTGTCCATGTGTTTGCAACATCTTAATTGGTAGGTCTTTCCGGCGAACCTGCCTTTAATAAAACACTAATTAGGAGCCCCATTGGGCTTTAATAGTTTGCAACACTTCAGGGCATTCCTCTCCACAGTCACGATGGAGAAAAAAAGGCAGCATATTTTATTTTTAATTTTATAGATTACTATTATTTGATAGACAGATGTTTCTCAAAGCAAATGCCAAAAAAACTTATGGCCATCAGAAACAGGGAAAATTTGGAGAGATTATTGCCCAAGTGTACAAAAATATAGCCTACTGAAACTGAAATCGAATGTTACTAACCGCCAAGAGTCGTAAAACAGAAATAATAGGGTACATCACAATAACATCGCAATTGGGACGAACACAAATTAAACAAAAAAAAAGATTAAAGAAATTAATTCGCTATTTTCGTTTTGCAATGTTATTTTTGATCGTTTTAAGTAATAAAACTTCTGGTAAAAAATAAAACAAAAACTTACGAGGTCTAAACTACTTTATGTCCCTTTGGCTTGCCGTCTGTTGCCACGGTGATTGTGACGCCAGGCTTCTTCAGATTAGCCAGCATCGTAGAAATTTAGCTAGCAGCTAAACCAACAGCAGTTTAATTAACGCTACCAAATTAACAAGTGAGAGTGATAACCTGTGGCCATGGCATCTGTTTTAGATGCTCTCTGGGAAGACAGAGACGTTAGATTCGACATAACAGCGCAGTAAGTTAACGCTGAATTAGTTTGGGATTATTTTCCTATCGTATAAACTGGTTAGCTCAGATACGCTACATGGCCTGTTGCTAATATTTGGCTGTGATGTTTTCCAGATAATTGTGTTTAACTTTGTATTCTGTCGTGGAAAAAAAGGTTTTATGTTAGTGTAATGTTGTATTCGTCTTGGTGTAGAGATGTGGTAGATCACTGTCACTCTATCAATGTGACGCTGTTAACAGGCAGATGAAAACTCGTCCAGGAGAGGTGTTGATAGACTGTCTGGACTCCATAGAAGACACGAAAGGAAACAACGGAGATAGAGGTAGCTGTTATGGAAGTTAACACTATCTGGGTATCTTGTGTGTGGCTGGTCAGATTGTTAATAACTGATAATGTCGACTTTTTTGCAGGACGACTGTTGGTAACAAATCTGAGGATCATTTGGCATTCTCTGGCCCTGCCAAGAGTCAATTTGTGTGAGTACACCTGCATGGTTGAATCCATTTCTGTACTTTGATTCTGCCAACATTAGCTGATTATTTTTGTCTGCTCTTGGAAGTGCATGGCATTAAATGACTTTGGTAAATGGTATTAATTGACATCCTTAAGGGATTAAACCTGCTTTTATTGTAGGTTTAATTGCTTTCTTGTGAAACCTCAATTTTGACTGTGGTTTGTGTCTTAAAGACTTTACTTTGAGTGCCCACAATAGCCACTGCATGCCAACAAAAACAGAGTGTCAAGATGACTACAAGAAGCTAAGTGTGAAACTATGTGAAAAATACAGTTAATCTAAATACAAATCTGTTATTTTTTCAGCTGTGGGTTACAACTCAATAATTAACATCACAACAAGGACAGCTAACTCAGTAAGTAAAACCCTGTTTTATTTCTACTTTTCTAACTATTGAATGTTTTGTTATTAAATATTTTTTGTAATATTATTTAAATTCCACAGTTTTTGTCCAGAATCAATTTACTTGACATATTATAGGCACTTTTTAAATGGACAATTTTGATTACCTCAAGGTTTGTGTTTGTGTTTTAATTCACAAGTCATTCTAAAGTGGAAAAATGTTTCAATCTATGCAAGAACAAAGCAAACAACAGCAACTTTGGTTCAACATGCTATAACTTGTTGTAATTAATATATGAAGAAGTCATAATAAAATGGATAAAAATGCTAATTTAGGAATTTCATGTTCTTTGCCAGAAATTGAGAGGTCAAACTGAAGCACTCTACATCTTGACAAAGTCCAACAACACAAGATTTGAGTTCATTTTCACAAATGTGGTTCCAGGAAGTCCACGGCTCTTTACTTCCGTCATTGCTGTACACAGGTAAAACAATGCTGAGGGAATCTTCAATTCTCTGCTTATGCTGTACACAAAATGTATGTACAAAACACAGTAAATATTTTACATGTTTTGTTTTGTTGCAGGGCCTATGAGACATCTAAAATGTACAGGGACCTCAAACTGCGAGCTGCTCTCATTCAAAATAAGCAGCTGAGGCTTTTGCCCCGGGAACAAGTGTATGATAAAATTAATGGAGTGTGGAATTTATCCAGTGATCAGGTACTGGTGTTCTTCATGAAATGTGTCTGTTGAAATGATTTTCAGCATTTCCAAGTTTACAAAATGTACAGATCTACATGTACAGATAAAACCAGAACTAGCTCTACATACATACAAGTACATGGAGCTTAACAGAAGGATGTAAACAGATACTGTATATTGAAAAGTGCAAATGTATTGAGGCATGTGTACTTTCATTTGTCATTGAAATGACCAGTGAAAACGTAACAAGTAAAACAATGTAACAACAAAACTAATTTAATAACTAATTTTAAACCTCATTATATTTTCTTGTTTGCTGAAATGTATTGATAAAAAGTCACTAACAGTTAACAGGATATAAATGTGTGAAATTTAGATGAGCCCGCTGCAGTGAGTTAATGAAGTGTAAATACAGTATCTACTGTTTGCCTCTTACGCCTCCATTCATTGGTTCCGATTCTTAAGAAGACCACATCCAGTACGTGGAGTCAGCAAGGTTGAAGGATAAATTGTTTGCGGTGTGAGTAACTGGGTTACATTGACTCCATGGTTGTTTGTTGTCTTTTTTTAGGGCAATCTTGGGACTTTCTTTATCACAAATGTTCGGATTGTGTGGCATGCCAATATGAATGAGAGCTTCAATGTCAGCATTCCTTACCTCCAGATTGTAAGTATAATACACAATTAACAATAAAGATCTTATCTTCAGACTTTCATCTTGACTTAATTAAATGGGCAAAATGAGCTTGCCTTTTTGATTGGTTCTAATAAACAGCATTCTGGTTTTTACAGATACTTTTAAGTCACTCAGTGGCTTTTACTTTTACTTTTATTTTTTATTTGTGGCTCAAAATGTTTTAAACTAGTCTTAATGGCAACAAACAGAGGTCCCAGATACTGTAATCTAGACAGTAGAAGTATTCACAATTTGGGCTTGTCCCCAAAATTTGTATGTACCATCTCCATTTTCATGTTTTAACAAACATACACACCATCTGTTACACACTCAGGTGTGGATGTAACAGTTTTTAAAATTGAGGTACTTTCACTACACTCACAGATACCACTGCATCCTTGCACACAAGCTTCTACTAATTATCTTGTTTCTTTTGTTTGTTTGTTTTTTAATCCTTTTCCCCCAAAGTGGTCTATCAGAATAAGAGACTCAAAGTTTGGCTTGGCTTTGGTGATAGAGAGTTCACGTCAGGTAACCTGTTATTCTCTGCAGTTTGAGTCCCATTCACCTGAACTGATAACAATATAATGATTAAATAATATAACAATAACAATAATACCAATATAATACGCCTTTCTCTGATTTGTTTGCTGGTAATCTAGAAATATACTGTGCCTTTTCGGTTTTAGAGTGGTGGCTATGTGCTTGGATTTAAAATTGACCCTGTGGATAAGCTTCAGGACGCACTTAAGGAAATCAACTCATTGCATAAGGTGTACTCTGCAAACCCCATCTTTGGAGTGGACTATGAAATGGAAGAAAAGGTAGGAATATCAGAATGTTATTAAAATGCCTAACCCTGAACACCTCATTAGTATAACTAATAAGTAAAACTGTAAACAAACCAACTTTAAAAATGGTGTAAAATGTAATACTGTCATTTTAACAGCTGATTTCTTCCACCTATATTCCCATTAATGTTTTGAATACTTCACTGTAGGTGGCCTTTCCACCAGTTCAGTTGATCCTGTTGTCATAGCGCTGTTTGTCCTAACAATGATTGCAGCCCCAGCCACTGGAAGAACTCACAGTGGAACAACCTCCTGATGATGTGGAAATTGAGCCCGATGAGCAGACTGATGCTTTCACCGTGAGTATTTCCGTTGGCCACCGTTACACTCATCTGAGTGTCAGTGGCTTAGTTTTCAGACTCTCAGAATAGCTGTTAGCTAATGCCTTTCAGCATAATGAACAACCATGAATTTATGTTGGCTAGTACTTATGTTTGTCAGAGTAGTTCTCATCTGATAACAATACCCTGTTATTACAGACAGTGACTACCCAGTTAGTTTGATTAAATGTGCTAATTACTTGTTTATGTTTCCTTGCTTCCAGGCCTACTTTGCTGATGGCAATAAGGTAAATTCTCACAGCTAGTGATTACAATTATAAAAATATGTTGCACAGTATGTGAAACTTGTTTATTGTCGTTCCAAAGCAACAAGACCGTGAGCCAGTGTTCTCTGAGGAGCTGGGCCTCGCCATTGAGAAGCTAAAGGATGGCTTCACGCTTAATGGACTGTGGGAAGTCATGGGCTGAAGTAATGTACATTTACATAGTGTAATTATCCAGGAAATAATTTATGTATTTATAGCTCAGGTTAAAAGTTGTACAGCTTCCGCATACATACTTTTCATAATAAGAAAACACTATATTGCATGTGTGACAGATTAATTGTGGGATAATTTATACGTAAAGTATATTTTCTTCTAGTGAATAGAATGTGAAATATAATTCAGTTTGTATTGTTAAAAGTTAATAAATAAATGTATTTAAATAGATATTGGAGAGCATATTTTTTAAACAATTTCAATGTGTAGGTATCTCATACATACATTGTAATTCATTTGCATGGGGAAAGAACCCAATGATCTAAGGCTAAATAAAAAATTTTAAAAAACTGTACAAGGTGCTAAAGTATGTTAAAAATGTTAAAAGAGGACAAACGGTCACCTCTTGTGGCAGCAGCTGTTCACTTACCCTGTCTGGTGGTTAGGTAATTCCCCTTTGGATGTACTCACACAAATACTGAATCACACACTGTAGGGAAATAGTCATTACTATCAGTGAATTATGACTCACTCCACACATAGATGTTACTAGAATATACACCATCGTAGTACTGTTACCACATACAGCAGAGCAAATGGTCCTGCTATTGTGGTAAGTGTTTTGTGTTTTCATTATGTACTTTGCTGCATTTCTTGTAAGAATGTATTTTCACTGTATTAGATAGACAGGAGTAAATAAAATGAAAAGATCAGAGGTTATTTTTGTGTGGCTGTACAACAATGTTGTTACTAATCACTGGGGTGACAAGGCCGTCACATTTGTTTCTACTCTGTGACAGCTGTGTGAGCTCACCGATTTGGCCAACCAGAATTCTTCATAGATGGGGTGGTTGGCTATATTTAGAGGGGCACAGTTATATTGAAGTGGCTTCAGACCTGACTGCCTATAGTTCTCTGTCTTCACCAGCTGGGACAGTCGGTCAAAAACTGCTTCACCTTCATTCACTTCCTGTCCTAAAAGAATGGATCCCCAAGGCTTGAAGGAAGATCTCCGTCTTTTTCAGAGCACTTTGCTGCAGGATGGACTCAAAGAGCTTCTGAATGAGAATAAGTTAATTGACTGTATCCTAAAGGTTGGAGACAGAAGCATCCCCTGCCATCGGCTCATTCTGGCAGCATGTAGTCCTTATTTCCGGGAGCTTTACTTCTCAGAGGATGGCAAGGAAGCGGACAAAACTGAGGTTGTTCTGGAGAATCTGGACCCCAATATTTTGGAGGTGATTGTGAATTACATGTACTCAGCAGAGATTGACATCAACGACGATAATGTGCAGGATATTTTGTCTGTTGCCAATCGCTTCCAGATCCCCTCAGTGTTCACAGTTTGTGTGAATTACCTGCAGAAGAAGCTGTCGAAGAAAAACTGTCTTGCCATCTACAGGCTGGGACTGATGCTGAACTGCGCCAGACTGGCCATCGCAGCCCGAGATTACATTGCAGATAGGTTTGAGACCATAGTCAAGGATGAGGATTTTTTAGAGCTTGCTCCACCTGAACTCTTTGCTATTATTGGAGCAGATGCACTGAATGTAGATAAAGAGGAGATGGTGTTTGAGTTACTCATGAGGTGGATCAGGAAAGACAAAGAGAAGCGCATAAAATCCTTACAGGAGGCCTTCGAGTGTATTCGCTTCCGTTTGCTCCCTGAGAAGTACTTCAAGGAGAAAGTAGAGAAAGATGACCTCATCAAGGCTGATCCTGAGCTTGTCAAGAAACTCAAAGTCATCAAGGACGCCTTTGCAGGGAAGCTGCCCGAGAAGAAAAAGGGACAAGGTGGTGAAGAAGGAGAGGAGGGCAAGTTGCCTGGCTACCTAAATGATGAGCGCAGATATGGCATGTATGCCAAAGACATGCTATTGATGATCAACGACACTGCTGCTGTGGCCTATGATGGCAAGGAGAACGAATGTTTTCTCGCTGGGATGGCTGAGCAGATCCCCCGAAACCATGTCAGTCTGATATCAAAGAAGAACAATCTGTATGTGTTGGGAGGACTCTTTGTTGATGAAGAGGACAAAGAAAACCCACTGCAATGTTACCTCTACCAGGTAGGAAAAGCTTTTGTCTACTTTGCATTAACATTACATTCCAGAAAATTAATTTCCTCACTTTATTTAAAAAATTTTTTACTGTGCCTCTCAGTTGGACAGCCTTGCTGCTGAATGGATTGCTCTGCCACCGATGCCCTCCCCCCGGTGTCTCTTTGCTATGGGGGAATCTGAAAACTTCATCTTTGCTGTAGCAGGAAAAGATTTACAGTCCGATGAGTCACATGACACTGTTATGTGCTATGACACTGAGTAAGTTCAACACATCAACCCTCTGGATGTTAATTCAATGGGTTCTTATTGAGAACATTTATGTGGATTCACTGTTGAACATATTCTCTGTCACTTTATCTGCCCCTGTAGGAAAATGAAGTGGACTGAGACAAAAAAGTTACCCTTGAAAATCCACGGCCACTGTGTGGTCTCTGAGAACGGGCTGGTGTACTGTATCGGAGGCAAAACAGATGACAAGTAAGACTGCGACGCTAGAACATATAATATAAAGTCAAAATATGATTTTCACAGTACGTTAACCCTTCTTGTGAATCATTTTGTCTCGCTGGTAAAGTAAAACAACCAACAAGATGTTTGCATACAACCACAAGAGGTCAGAGTGGAAGGAGGTGGCTTCCATGAAGACACCCAGGTCGATGTTTGGAGCAGTCATCCACAACGGGAAGATTATTGTGGCTGGAGGAGTCAATGAAGAAGGCCTCACTGGTGCATGTGAGGCCTATGACTTTGGAACCAACAAGTATGTGCTTTTATTGTTACAATCAGTATAGACCCTTTAAACTTACAAAGTGTCTATTGTTTTTACCATATTTGGAATCATAAATGTGTTTGGATATCATCATTTTTATGTTTTTTGTTGTCACTCTTCCATGTAGATAGCATATGTCACACTGCAAAACAAATACTAGACTGTGTTATTATAATGTTTTCATTTTCAAATATAACATCCAAATCAGTTTCTGTCAAATATCCATGAAATGTTGCAGTTGATTAGAGAAAGAGTCAAGTAACTCTTGCTGAGAATTTTTAAGGACCAGAGAAAAAACCCATAGAGATATCACATTAATCCAGCTGAGTGCACCTTGTTGCAGGTGGTCACCCTTCACAGAGTTTCCCCAGGAGAGGAGTTCAGTCAACCTGGTCAGCTGTGGAGGGCTGCTGTACGCTGTAGGAGGCTTCGCCATGGTGGAGAATGACAATAAAGAGTGTGCACCCAGTGAAATCATTGACATTTGGCAGTAAGTGTTGATTTTGTTGCATTATACAGTAAATTTTATACGTTGTGGCAAATAACATGATTTTTTGTGATTTTCTTTTACAATGACAACTCTCCCTGCACTCTCTCAACTGTCTAATACAGTAACATGTTTTAACTTCCTTACCAGGTATGAAGAGGACAAGAAGCAGTGGAGTGGTATGATCAGAGAGATGCGTTACGCTGCTGGAGCCACCTGTGTGTCCATGCGTCTCAACACAGCCAGAATGCCCAAACTGTAACGACGGTTCGGGGACATTCAGTCTACTGCTGCAGAAGTGTTTTATGTACACGCTCTTATTTAGAGGTTCATTGTTGTCATTTATCATTTTAACATATCAGCCACGTCCCCTTTGCCTGTACTGAGTTTTTGTTTTAATAAAAATGTATCATGATTTAACATGATCAACAATTTCATACAGTGAACAATCATTTTTATTTGGACCAGAAATTGCTGTTTTTTCAGATCTTACTCCTACACATACAACTTATTACAGCCAACAGGTTATATTTTGCATAGAAATAAATATTTTATTCAATCTAGAAATGTTCTACCATTCAGCTACAATATGTAGTTTTAAATTTAAAATATCATTACCCACAGCTCATAAAAATATTCAAGTACTATACCAAGGACCTGAGGCCCTGTGCATATGCTCGACGGACTTCAACTTCACCCTAATTGCGGTTGTTATACAAGAAAAATAACTAGTCAGATGTCTGCTGGTGTTCATGTGGAAAAGCTCTAAAATCAGTTGAAAGACTGAATTTGTGAGTTTGTATACCATACCAAGAGAATACAGTAACTTACACCTTGACTCCAGTTGATGGACCTCTTATTTGAGTGCAAACCTATTATTGTTAGATATGTACAAAACAGAAAATGATGCTTTAGATTTTATTAAAAAAAAAAAAAAAAAAAAAAAAAAAAAGAATACAAAAGCACATTACATACAATCTTACTTAACATGAATGAGGTAGATTCATGTCAATTTTAGGCTCTATGACAAAAAAATAAGGAGCACTTGAATCTTTGCACTCAGTCACTCACTGCCAAGAATTTCTTTAAAACCAGGCTGAAAGCTCAGTGTCCAATGTAACATTTCCTTTCTCATTCAATAAATAATGCCTTCAAGAAGAAAGCTCTCTAAATATTTTCTTCTTTAGATATTCCTTCCAGGCATCCTGTGTTGAAAGCTCCATAGAGTTCCATTCATAATGAGGGATCTGTAACAAAAAAACAAAAAACAAATACACTAATTATTTCACTGTCAGTGTCAGACATTTAATAAGATTCAGTACAAGACATGTACAGTGCTACATGCCATGTTAACTTAAATCGTGTCTTCTTACCTGAACAACACGATATCCCAGAATTTCAAGGTGTCTTTTTCTCATCAAGGCTTCACCTTTCATATGATGAGAATTCTTACAGAAGCACTTTGAATCGAGGAAGTCCACAGCAACTCTGGGTGATAAGTAAAAACAAAATGTCAAATGTATTTCATTTCTGAGTGGTCTTAGTAATCATCTTCAGTATTCAGGCTCTGTGTTCTGTTTGTGTCTGTACCGCTGAGCTCCAGGTGGCAGCTCATCCATGATGTTTTCCGTTGAGCTCGTCCCCCAGTGAACCTTCCCTCTGTCTGAGATCTGCAGTGTGCTCGGAGTGCTGTAAGGCAGCGGCTGTAGGTGTGTGTCCAGTATGCATTCAAAGTCTGAAAGTACAAAAAAATGTCCACATTACACTTCTATCATACAAATATTCGCTCCTTTTCCCATTCACTTCTATTGAGGCCCACACGAAGGATGAATTCAATCCTACTACTCACCTACGGTGTAAAAATATGGAGTAAAAACTGCTGCTCGGACACAGTTAATGCCACCTAGAACTTCACCCAGCATTTTGTGGATTTGCTGCTGCACAGAACTGACAACGCCATTCCCTGAAAAAAATAAACAATTTTACAGACACTGAATGGTATGAATTGATTTAATTCAAACTTCTACCCCATCAAGACCTGAAGACCTCATTACCTTTCTTTTGCAGCTGCTGGCAGTAGCGCTCATGAAACCACGGCACCTGGAACTCAGGACACTCAAGACACACGGCACGATTGAGCTCCATGAGGCGCAGTCTGGTCCGCATGTTGAGGGCATCAGGTAGGGCTGTAAGAAGCAATGTGAACAGTTACATTAGTCCTATTCAACAAGTGTGAAGTGCTTACATCTTAAGATGAATATTCTGCCACACATACAGGAGGAAATTTTTATATATATATATATATATATATATATATATATAATTCACACCATAAAGGCACATACTTTCTAGTTGGGAATCCAGTTTTCCCAGAAAGTCGATACTGAAGATTTCTCTGACCAGTTCTTCAGGAAAACAGTCAGCCACAGCCAAGGAGTATGCCAGGAGAACTAGCAGATGGGGGTCAAAGGAGCCTACAAGCACATGTAGAGATGTTATGCATTAGTGTGATCTTAAAATAAATAAAAAAACAAGTCTATAAAATGATTATTCACTTACTGATATGAGGAGTAAAGCGCTGAATACAAGCATCATACAACTCGTCCGCTTGTGCAGGATCATAATTCAGGACAGAAAAGGGCAGCAGGGTGGCATATGTTGCCGAGTAGTGAATCTTCAAAATTAAAAAAGGACAGGAAAAGTACAGTTAATATATAATTAGTAATTCCAGACTTAGCATGCTGTGTTGTCTCTTAAAGCACCTTGTCGATGTCTTTAATAGCCACACTGGCGATTCGGTCCATCAGAGGAGGGCAGAGGTGATTCATCCGGGTTAAGAAGAGGGACAGCTCTGGCACATTGGTCCAGTTTATTTGGTCCATCATCCTCTGCAGCATGACCATCGTCTCTTCGAGCAACATTTCTTCAAACCACTCCCCTGAAACGTACCTGAGCTCCTCAAGCACCAAGTCCAGCCGGTCGGCTGTTTGTAGCCTCTCGTGCCCGCAGCGGTTCAGAGTCTGCAGCAGACGGACATACTTGCTGGGAGTGTTGTGGCGGTAGGACGGATCGTTCCGCACCCACTTGGCAATGGCAAAGGAAATGGTGTTGAGGTCATTGAGATTGCACTGCGTCACCACCGCCTCTACCCGTGAGGTCACAGCCTCATCGAGCCGTGGGCAGGGCAGCATGGACAGAACACGGGTCAGCATGGTTACCTCGTAGGGGAAGACGCTGTGCTGCAAAAAGCTGCAAGACAAAGTGTAATCAGTCTATATAATCAATATGTGGAGCAAAATGGCTCTTTAGCTCAAATTAAGACTTACTTGACCAAAATGTTTCTTAGTTTGGTGAAGAGTTCAGGGTTCTGGTATTGGAACAGATAAAGGGCTTGGGTGATTCTGGCCACCTCCACCGGTTTATACACATGAAGGTTCCTCTGGATTACTGATGCAATTCTGGAAAGTAGTTTAGTAATGATTACATTTTACAAAATATTCAACAGACTTTTTTTTTTTATCTGATAATGATATATCAATGGATTTTTGTTCTTTTTAAATAAAATTTTGTCAACCAGCATTTCCAATGTCAGGAATGAATTTTCAGTCTCAACTTTTAAGACAACACAGGTGAAAAGTCCTTTAAGTCCTGATAAACATTGAAATATGAACCTCTCCAATTACATGACAACAGGACAGCTGCGTCTGCTGAGGGAGATTGTGTGAGGCTCCTTAATGGTCCTGTATCCAAGAATGAACTTTCAATCCTCTACCTCAAAAATGGCAATTCTGTACTGTCATTTTCCTGTTACTTTTCAGCTGACAAATATGGCAATGCTAATATATCTGCAATAAGTTGATATATTGGCTCTGCTGCTATATGGCAGAGATATGAACTCACTTGTTCAGTAAGCTAAGGTTCCTGCTTTGAATCTCTTCTAGTGCTTCGGCTATAGCCAGAGCCTGGTGTGCACTGAGCTCATCCGCCAACAGGAAGGCAGTGTTCTCCAACCTGAGAGGAATTAAACCACAAAGTAGACCAGTGAGACTTGAGGACTGCTGTAAAGGGTCAGATTTCTACTCATGTATTCCTTCACTAATAATCATACAAACCCTTCTCTGATCTCCTGACTGGCCATGGGAGCCAGAGCAACAAACAGTTTAGTAAAGGAGAAAGGATCAGTGCTTGAATCAATCAGTTCTATCAGTCTTTGTTTAACAGCCAGCCTGAAGTCACAGTTGTTGAACTGCAGGGACTGATACAGCCCCATGATGATGCTGATATTCTCTGCGTCTAGCCTGGGAATGTTGCACAAAAGGATCTGGTTGCACTTCTCCAGCAGAGGCCGGTGGCTGTACTTGATGTTGCGTAGGAACTGCACCACTCTCCGAGGGTTGTTGTACTGTGAGGGATTCATGGTGTCAAGGAGAAGATCTGCTCTGTTAATTAAGGCATCCCGCAGCCGGGGAGACACCAGGGATGATGTGCTTATCATCAGTGTAGTTAGGACCCTGAGAAAACAACACAGCAGAGTAAATACACAATATGAGATGCTTAAATTTGATCACATTTGTATGACGACCAACCTGGCATCATCCATCGATGACAGCCTCTGATCCACAATACTTGTGATGCGGCCCATTAGAGGACTTTGTTGAAGGTGTTGATCACTTAGACAAATAGCAAACTTGGACAGGGAGGCCATTGGAAATCTGCAAAAACACACATTTGTGTAACATCTCATGAGTGTTGAAACAATTAGACAATTAATCAGAAATTAGACCACTAGACGATTAATAGACAACTGACAGAAAGATTAATAACAATTTTCATACCGATTTATCTGTTCAGTCATTTATCAAGCAAAAATGCAAAACACTTGCTGGTTCCAGCTTCTGCTGTGTGAAGATTGGCTGCTTTTCTCTATTATGTGTCATTGTAAATTACTATTTTGTGGTTTGGCACTGGTGGTTGGAACGACAGGACAGTTGACTGTCTTTTGGGCTCTGAGAAATTATGATGGACAATTTTCACTATTTTCTGACATCTTATAGACTAAACAATTACTCCATTGACTGAAGAAAATAATTGCTGGATTAATCAATGATGAAAATAACAGTTGAGCCCAAAATTTAATTACCTAAAGACAAGCAAAAAAAAGGGGGGAATGCAATCATACCTGTCTATTCTTAGCCATGCTTCTGAAACCAACTGTTGAACAAGAGAGTCATGTGGATCCACATTCAGCCTACAAGATGGACAATAATTCAGTAAATTGTCATTACAGTTTTATAATTCAGAAACACACTCTTCAAGGTGATGATGTCTGTATTTTAATGTACCTGAGGAAACTGTAAAGTATGTCCACCAACATAGAATCATCCATAAGAGCAATTTTGTTTTCAGCCAAAACCCGGAGAGTCAAGAACTGTGGGTGACTCTTGATGAGATCCACAGTCCTGAGTAGCTGAGGTTTGTCTCTCTGAAACTGCCACAGCATCCCCACAGCACAGCTGACATGGTTCACTGTGAGCTTGGCCTTGTTCTTGCCCACCACATCAAACACATGGTCTTCGGCCAAGCAAACCTGCAGCTGGTCCAGAACCTGGTCTCGGTTCACTGTCCCCCCATGAAGGAGCCTACGAAGGCAGGAATTCACACACCGGAGCCGAAACATAATCACAGACCTTGGCTCAGATTATGTATGCACTGAGGTCTTCATTGTAACAACACAGTGTCCACTATCCACTTCAATGTCAAAGTTGCAAGCAGGTTCAGCCAACTGGTATTACATCCACCAAATAACAGTCTGGGGGCGGAAGGTGTCCATGCTACTTCAGGGACCTCTATGAAAAAACACAAACAAAAAAACACATTATTTTTAACCTGCATCATAATTTATGACATTATACCTGGTTCTACTGCATTAAAAGGCAAGCATATGACATGTCAGTGAATGTAGCTCAATGTGACATGCTGACCTCAAGTTCAGAGGATTTTAGAAACAGCTCCGCTCAGAGATGTAACGCGACTTCCCTTTGGTGTACCATTAGACCGTGTGCTACCAGGAGCTCAGCTGAGTTTTCTAACGCGGTTTTCACGTGGTTGAAGAAACAGTCACTTAAAATGACTGAAATGACCAGACTACCCTTGCTAACCCTATTCTTAGGTAGATTTCTGCAGATTATAGAGATTTAAACATTATATGTCGTACAAAAATATAACACTGTCATTAAATAAGCTCATTCAAAGTCAAAATTACCTAGCATGTGTGCTACATTGTTTCACTTCCGTAGCCAGTGACATAAGGACGTCAGAAGATTTTCAAACCCTGGGTTTTGTCCTTCAGGCAGCAGCTCATTCACGTTGGGGCGTGAAGGCAACTAGTTGGTCTGATGTGTTCAAAACAGTTTTTCTTACTGTAAATACCTTCTGATGTCCGTCTGTATAACTCAGAAAATATCGATTCTGTAAAGTCCCCTAGCACTATTTTACAACCTCATTTCAATTTCTTTATTTTATTGGCATAAAATAACCAATATAATTTTCACAAGGTGACCGTATATTATGCTTTACTTAGGGAAAAAGAAAAAATCCTGAGCTGTAAGGGGGTTCAAATTCAAAGATTTTAAACAAAAACCAAGTATTAACGGTTTTTATAAGCCTTTGGATTTGTGGAAAACTAAATCAAGTCAATACTGTTTGGCATTCTTTGTGTAACCAACAAGTTTGACTGTTTATCTGTAAATATGCAATCGTAATAAAATTTAAAGATTAGTAATATACATTTGAGAATTCATATTTGTGTTATCATAGGATACCAAACATGCTTCCATAATAAAGTAACATTTTCATTAATACGACTGTTGAAGTCCAAAACAATTCTCACAAAAGGGCAGTACCAAAAAAAAACAAAAAAACAATAGTCTTAGTGGAGCTGCAACAGAAGCAATTTATATCATTGTCTTTTTTTGAATAAGCCTCCTAACCTATGCTTCTAGATAAGAAACCATGATAAAAGACCTGGTGGAAGGTTTTCCTTTTTTAATATAGATGAAATATGAAGAGGAATAATGTTCTACACAGGTGGGTTCACTGAATCATTAAATGGTTGATGTAGCTGATTTAGACAGCCTGAGAGAAAGTTGTACCTTACAGATAAATTACAGGGCATAAAATCTCCTATGCTCCTGCTGCTGCGTGCACCGCTGCGTTGACTGGCGCACGAGCCTCGACATACGTTGACGTCCCTCTCGCGCCATCTTTAGAAACAGTGAGCTCAACACTGAATGAAACTTAATTTTCGTCGTTTGTAAAGAGCTGCTCGCCTTTTGGAATAATATTCTTGTCTTTCCAGGTGATGTTGTGTCACATTGTGGGTGTTCTATCGACATATGTATGTAGTTGATGCACTAAAATGGTTCATGTTGTGTAGGAGGATTCCTCTATTATGTTGTGTGACCGGGGGTAGGTGAGCTTGCTAATGCTAACACCAGGCCTAACGATGAGTAGATAGATACTGCTGTGTGAAATCGCAACGATTTAATCCGGATTGTGAGTGTGTACACGGGGACACTTAAGATAACTGGAAACGTGTCACTAGTTGGATAACATTATCTCACGATTAAAAAACAAACGAACATTAGCTAACCTAATGGTGTTTATTATAATCCAGCTGTGTCGGTAACGCTTCTGTTGTTTATCTGGTAACTTGAACGGCACAACAGTGATTTACAAACAGTACCATCATCATTTATTTTTGCTTCAAATGGTTTTCAGTAGCTTTTAAAGAAATCGTTCAGATGGTCAGGCTCGGGAGATGTGCAAGATTTGCATCTCATTTCGCCTGTTGCATGCTGCTGTCCCTTATCTCTCTCTGATTTGTGCTCCTCACCTACAGGTGTTGGATCAGTGGAGGTGATCATGGGGATCAAGGTTCAGCGCCCTCGGTGCTTCCTTGACATTGGAATCAGTAATGTGCTCGGTAAGAAACAAACTTCACATTTCTGCCTACTATGACTCAGCTGTGAGTTAAATGGGTAAATATTTCTTATACTAATGAAGTCTAATGGGGGTAGCTATGCAATAAACCCTAACTTCATGAGGGTTGTATTGGAAACTGTTGTAGAGAGGTGTGATTCACATTTTGGTCATTTGAAGGGTGTAGTTTGTGGCTTTGTGAAATCCCATTGTCTTTTTAATATTTAGTCTACCCTTATAGATATGAATGGGGTGTATATACAAAAGATTACATCTGAGTGTCATACAATAGAATATAGCACCACAGACTACAGCCTCCAAAACTGCTGTAAACTTGGATCAGCATCTCTCTAATTTGTCTAAACAAAACCTGAACAGTATAACCAACATGAAGGTAGGGGATTATTGCAGGAATGTTGAATTAAACTGCTTTAGTTTTAGGTGTGTGTTCCTAATACACTGACAACTGAGCATGTGTTTCACCACAATTTAAATATAAGAAAATTATTCTAACCTGGTGTCTTCTCACAGTTGGCAGAGTTGTGGTGGAGTTGTTTTCAGACATCTGTCCCAAAACATGTGAAAACTTCAGATGCCTCTGCACAGGTGAATAATGGATTTTCTCCTCAATAATGATATGCTAGCAGCATATTTTTGCACACTTTAATCATGATCATTTCTGTTGTTTCTTCAAGGTGAGAAAGGCATTGGTAAAGGAACTCAGAAACCCCTGCACTACAAAGGATGTCTGTTCCATCGAGTTGTAAAAGACTTCATGATTCAAGGAGGAGACTTCAGTGAAGGTGAGTTAATAAAGATTGAAGGTTGTGAATGGTACTTATCTTAGAACAAACTGAATACGACACTACAGGATCTGCTTGAATAACCAACAATCAACATGAGTTTAACAATGCCAAATATCCTGTCATGCTGCAACTCCTTTGCTTATGTTTTCTTTGTTCTTTGACATCTCAGGCAATGGAAGAGGAGGGGAATCCATCTATGGAGGCTTTTTTGAAGGTAAAGAGGCCACTGTCAGAGCTGTCAGTTGTTATCCAAACCGACGTTGGCTTCAAGATGGCAGTACAATCTTATCCTTTTCCCCCAGATGAAAGCTTTGCTGTTAAACACAACAAGGAGTACCTGCTGTCTATGGCCAATAGGGGCAAAGATACAAATGGATCCCAGTTTTTCATGTAAGCACTTTGTTTATGTTTTTATATTATTGATTTGATTTATTATAAATTCTTTCTGTCATCCTTAAGCTTTCCAAATAATTATGTCTTTTTTTCTTGAACGGCTTGCTGTGACACTTCAGAACGACAAAACCCTCACCACATCTGGATGGGTAATTGCTGCTTGATTACATCTAAAAATCGAATTGATTGCATAGTGCACAATGTACATGATATGTCTCATAGCTAAAGGTCAACACCACTTTATTTTCTCAGTGTCCATGTGGTTTTTGGTCATGTGATCTCTGGCCAAGAGGTTGTTCAAACCATGGAGAACCAGAAAACGGATCATAACAGCAAACCATATGCTGACGTGAAAGTTTTAAACTGTGGCGAGCTGGTTCCTAAATCTAAAGGTTTGTTTATGCAAAGCATTTTCAGTATTTTCAAAACCTTAAATGTCTTCTCTCCTGCTATTGACTGAGAAGACACAACTTTTACATTTAGTAAAGCAGTGCTTGTAACACTCTACATATTTGCAGCAAAGAAGGAAGGAAAAAAGAGGGAGCGAGCCTCCTCCAGTTCCAGCAGTAGCTCCAGCAACTCTGAAAGCTCCTCAGATTCCTCCTCTGATTCTGAAGAATCTGAGAAAGAATCCAAGAAGCGGAAAAAGAAGGCAAAAAAACTGAAAAAGAAACAGAAGAAGAAGGACAAGAAAAGGTACATAAATTATTTTCACTGTGTTCAGTGTAAACAGTACCAAGTGTCTTTATACTGAGCCGTAATGCTTTGCTAGGTCAGAGGCGGAAAGTGCTGAGGAGAAAGAACAAGAGGAGGTGGTTACATCTACTGTACGTCCTGAAGAAATACCGCCCATCCCAGAGAACCGATTCCTCATGAGGAGAAGTCCCCAGGCTGTCCAGAAGTCAAAAGAGGAGGCTGAAAAGGATCAGAGAAATAAAGAGGAAAGGCCAAGAGAGAGGTTAGTCTGCTTGACAAGCATTCATTATGTAGTTTGTCCTCTTTGTCATATTTAATTCCCACCGTCAATTAATTTTAATTACTTTTTTCCCCCCCAGTACTGGCATAACATATAATTCACAGTCAGCATATCATAGAAGACTGGTGATGACACGATCTGGCAGGAAGATAAAAGGCAGAGGTCCAAGGGTAGGTGCAATAATGTGAAGCTAGAATTTTGTCACAATAAATATAATGAGACTGGAATATGTCAGTCTCTAAATAGTTGCTTTCAAATGGCAGTGACACCTAAAATTCAATGTCACCATTTATAAACATTTTAATTGCACTTTTTTGTCTTGTTAAATGTTACTTCCAGTCTGTTTAGAGTCTGTATGGAACAGAAGTGAGTGGTTTGTCCTTTTCTCCTATCCAGAGGTACCGGACTCCGTCACGCTCTCGTTCAAGGTCTAGGGATCGTTTTCGGCGCAGTGAAACTCCTCCACACTGGCGTCAGGAGCTGCAGCGACAGAGGATGAGGGCAGTCACTGGAGAGCGCTGGATCAAGGGTGACAGGTAAGATGCTCTAAACCTAAACTTATCAAAGTAGTAGTGATGTTTGTCTGTAATGACAGATCTTGTATCTTTTAATCTGAGACTGTGAAAATGTTCTGTTTGATGAGCACACATGTTTTAGTGTGCAGATGCAAGTGTTTTAGCTATGTACTAGATGTATGCAATTTATTAAAGAGGACGTGCAACAGAACATGTAACTATGAAAATATCTCATCAGTTCATCAGTTGCAGATATGCTTTTTGGATTAGTCGACTGTGACAATAAATGTGAACAAATAGATGTCCTCTCTGTCACCAGTTGATGTATTACTGTAGTAATTCAACCTATATAAAGAATTTAAAAAGCTTTCATAGTTGTTCAACTCCTGGTGCTGCCTACTAAGACCTTAATGTCAAAATCCCTGCTGCACAGGAAGTGACACATTGTACAGATTGTAGCATGAGTGGTTTATTTGTAATAAATTCAATAAAACTCAACTGGATATTTTCTTAGAGTAATGAATTTTTGCTTTATTGTTCAGCTAGCAATGGCACACTTCACTGTTAAGCTTAGATCTTGGAGTGATAGTTCAGTTTGCAGGTTAAGGGTCTACTGCTGGCATTGTTGTGCACTCAGATGTGTTTTGTCAGTAGTGAAGCCCAGAACACAGTCATGTACTTGCACACATAAGGGGAAAAATCGACTTTTCTAAAATGAACAGAAGTCAGTGTAGACAGCTGTATTATTTAAAATCAGTTGGTTATCTGCTGTAGTAGGCTTTTGTGTGAGGTTGTTTGAAAACTTAAAATTTATTTACCCAGCCAGGCATCCATAGGAGAGGTATCCCAACATGTACCAAGACCCACATTTTATTTTAATCTAAACAAGTACATACATATTCATTGTCCAGTAATGATGAAATGTCAACCATAAGACAAGTAAACCTGTCAAAACATGGGACCCTGACAGGTTCTCCTGCATAAATTGTGTATGAAATGCAAAGGCCATTGCAATACTTTTTGTATTTCAAATCTAATCACTCATTAGATTGTAATAATATTTAATGAAATGCATTATGTAAGAAATTAATTTTCTAAAATTCTAATTTTTAACATTATTCAATGCATATTGTTGCCTGATGTTGGTTGTCATGATCTGTAAGTAATATTTCCTTTGCACTTTTTTTGTTTTTACAGAGGTGACATGAATGAGGCCAAGGACGAGGCTGCTAAAGCTCCAAGAAGAGAGAGACGAGCCTCCAGCACAAAGCATGAAAAAACAGCTGAGGGTAAAAAAGACAAGAAAACTCGGTCACATAGATCCAAAAGCAAAGAGGAGGATGCTGTAGAGAAGGATGAGAAGCATAGCAAACACACAGCAAAGAAACGAGATAAATCTCAAAGTCGCAGTAAAAGCAGAGAAAAGAGCAGGAGGTCAAAAAGCAGAGATAAAGGTCACAACCCCAAACGTGATGAGAGGAGAGGTCGCTCGAGGAGCAAAGACCGAAATATAAATAAGAAAGAAAAGGAATCGGAGTCTGATCACAGTAAAGATAGAAATAAGCGCCATGAGTCTGAGAAAAAGCATAAAGAGGACACAAAAGGAAGAAATGGTGAAAGAACTAGAACAAAGTCAAAAAGCAAAGAAAGAACAACCACAAAAGATGGGCGCAGATCAAGCAGCAGAAACAGGGATAGAGGCGGAACTGCAGCATCGAAAGACAAAGAAAAACGAGAAAAAGACAGGGAGAGGGGCAGGGAACGTAGCAGGAGTCAGGAAAGACGATGCAACAGTGAAAGGGAGAATAAGAGGCGAGGAACGTCCAGGGATAAGGAACATCGAACAAGAAGTCCAGACAGAAATAAAACCAGAGACTCGCACAGAAGCAGGCGCTCCAGAAGTAAGAGTAATAAGAGAGACCACAGCAAAGATCGATCATCTCATAGAAAAGACAGAGAAGCCGGCAACCAAAGGAGAAGACGTAGTAGCAGTTCTGATAGTGACAGAAATGATAAAAGGAAAAGTCAAAAGAGCCCAGATTCCAAAAGAAGAGCTAATAGTCCCTCCAAATCCAAAGACAGAAGAAGTCCAGCAAGACCAAGACCAGATAGTACAAAAGGTAAAGACAAAAATGACAGCAAGAGGAATAAATCAAGCTCTAGCTCCAGCTCTGACAGTGACTGAGCCCGTAATGGTGTCCTAAAGGAATAAATTGGGATTTTGTCCCTCTTTTATACCTACTACCCACGTAATATGCAGCAACAGCTTCTTATCTAGAGTTGGACATATTAACATTCCTCATTCAGTGCAAAAAAAAAACCCACATCACAGTTCAGCCAAAGCTAACATGAATGTACCAAAGTCTGTCAAAGGTCATTTCCGGAACAATTCACACCGATAACACCAATAAGAAATTACAACAGATGGTTGAAGTCTTGAACGGAGACAAAGCTGTAAAGCAGTAAACGAGGGAGAGAGAGTGGTGTAGAGCAGAGCAGTAGACAAAAACAACTGTTAACATTTAACTTAAATCTGCAGTTACACACACTGTAGCATCACGTGAGCTTTGGCCAAGCTGTGGACTGCATTTGGGCTCTGAATGGGGATTGTGGATTTGTTCCCCATTAACTGTGTTACATTGTTGATGGGTAGCTGAAGCTGCATAGCCAGATTAGAGAAAAGGATTTGTAACTGAAAAAAAATTCACTGACGTTGTATACTGCAGTGTGAAGGCAGTTTTTTTTTTTTTTTTTTTTTTTGATTCTTTGGTAGTAAGAATTTTGGCTTAATAGCTCCAATTTCAGATTGTTTGTTTAAAAAATGAAGAAAAAAAAAAAAAGTAAGATTTTACAGCAACAGATTCTCTCCTCTTAAAAGTCTTTTCCCCTGAGGAGGTTTTCTACTGAAATTTGTTTTAATATTATTTAACACAGTTGGTTTTTGGGGATAAGGACTGCCTATAACTGGCAAAGTCTGATGTTGACTCAATTATTTTTACAACAACAATCAGTCTGTAAGAGAGAACTTGAGAAAAGAAGAGAATTTCTTGCATGCATGCTTATCCCTGGCATTGTTAGATGAAATATGTACATTGTGACTTTTTTTGTACATCCACAACCTTACTGTAATCCTGTGTTTTGCGATACCTCTGGATTGTTTTTGTGTTTGTTTTTTTTTTTTTTTTTTTTTTTTTTTTTTTTTTTTTTTTTTTTTGTTGAAAGAATTAATGTCACTGTCACACTGTAAGTACAACATAAAATCAATTTGTATAAATTGTGTTTTGTGGAAGTTGGTTTTGAAAAGAACTCAACTACAGTGTAGAATGAATTAAAATGCTCAATTTGGATTTTAATCAATTGTTTTAATATTCTGTAAATGCTGTTACAATCAAAACACAAACAAAACAATACAGTTATATCTTTTGCAGGCCTTAACATTATTAGCATCCAAAATTACAGTGATTGCATTATTATAAGAACTTTACACTGTACTGTTTTAGCCCAGACAAGTCTGTTCTGTGGTTGGGGCAGCTGATGTGAAACGTTAACAGAACACTTTGTTGTGTGATTAATATCAAACAATTCTCAATGTTTTGTGAATGTCGACCCCAGTGAGGTTTTTCTTTGTTGCAGAGTTGGTAATAAGTTGAGCATTTTGACTGCAACCTTCAGCGAACATTTTCCAGAGCACATATATTGTGTACCTAATGATCATTTTGAAGAACATCTCTAAAAGTTGTCTGAAATCACTCAATACTGACTACACTGCATAGTTTAACGTGTATAGTGTTCTATATAAGTATATATGAGAAACAATATTTAGCTGCTTCACACTAACAGGAAATGATACAACACGCTGTCAGATGTCCATCACACAGTGACTGTAGACTCACTGTAAGTTAACCTTCAGAAATAGAAAGCAAAATGTCTTTCTCTGTAACTTATTTTTGTTTTCCAAGATCTTCCACTTCCTTTGTGCAATGCATTGTGGGAGAATAGTATCCTTCAACAGCACACTCAAAAATCAGCTGTATTTAGTATGCATTCTGTCTGGTCTGAGTTGACTGTCACTTTTCCAATGTGAAGACGCCACGTACTGAGACCTGCTTAGATTTAGCGTGTAGTATAGATTAGGGACACACTGTTAGTCTCCATGGCATGGACACAGCTTTTTTGTTGTCTTTATGTATTTGGACATTTTTATGCCTGCAGTAATGAGATGACAGGAGACGTTCTGATTCATGGTTGGTGCCGTTGACACCTAGGCCACCAGGTGGAAGTCATGTGAGACTCCACTTGTCTGTGATGATGGAATGATGACAGTGTCAAAAATCCCTATGTACTATTCACTATAGAGCAAACTATTGAGCGTTTGTTGGTAGTGAGTAAGTGAGTGGTTTCAGACAAAGCCTTTGTCAAAGTATTTTAAGAATGTTATTAAAACATTCAGTATCTTCAGAGATGGTAAATTCAGGGAAACATTGGAACTAAAATTGCCAGCTGGGAGAGAACAATCACCATGTAAACCCAAGTCTCCTCTTTGCTTCTTGAATGTCTACAACTTCATTAAGCTTTTTAATGTTCTGGGTGACACCAGAGACATATTTGGGCATCTGAGCACCACTACAGTCCTGAACGAGGTAGCCAGGCCTGACTCCACCTAAAACGGGACCAAGCCCTCCTCCTATCCCTTCCCTCGCAGCTTTGCAAAGTGGAAACACGTTTCGCTGAGCCTCTGCCGCTGCGCTGATGACGTGCTGTGAATACTGTTGAAACTGGTTTTCCTCCTCAGCAACAAGGTATGTGTTCTTTGCCTGAAACTCATGTTCATCTCTTCTCAGGTTCTGATGTCTGGCCATTTTTGCAGCCTGTGTATGAAAAATCAAATTTAAATGTCAAAAATTTGCCCTCAGAGAACACTGGCCATAACTGTCATGTCCATACTGATGTTCTTGAAACAGCTGTGACATTACCATTTGTGTGGCATTGAAGTCTTGTAATTTTCTTTCATCCTCTCGGATCCTCTGAGCCTTCAGTTGTTGTTTCTCAGAAAATATTCTGTCAGCCTCTTTCTTGGCTTGAAGCATGTCTCGGGTGGTCTGTTGCGCTTCTTTGTCCCTCTGCTCCTTTTCTTGTCTCTGACGGAACAGGTGTGATAACATTTTGTTAACTGCAGCTGGACGAAGGGACAAAAACAATCAAGTGGATTTCACTGTAGCCATAAAAAAAAATAAACATTTTGGGACCCACAGCTTAGAAACTCACCAAGGAAATGTAATAAAGATTTCATGCTATATTAACATGACTTGTGTCATTGGTTTCAGAGTCTGAACTTGTGTTACCATGAATTCTCTGTGTGCAGTGATTGACTTCAACATTGCAGTCCTCTTCTCCTCCTCCTCCCTGTGCTGTTGTGCCTGTTTGGCATCCCGCTCAGCTACAGCCTTAGCAATCCTCAGCTCCTCGCTGACAGTTTGGTCCTGCTGTGCCACTGTCAGTTTGTTCATGATCTTCTCTCTGTGCATCTGGGCCTCTCTGAGGAATAAAATAACACAACAAGTTGAGTTGTTGTTACGTGTGAGGTGTCGAGGCAGATGACTGGGTCTACAGGAAGCTGGACGAAGATGCGCTGGGTCTTACCTTAACAACTCAGTTTCTTTGTCTCTCCTTAACTTCATCATCTTTTGCTTGGCAGTGAGGAAAAGTTTCCTTTGCTTCTCTTCAGCCTCCTGTTTTTGCGCATCTGCTGCTCTTATGAGGTCTCTATTGGTGAGATGTTCCTGTAAATACAGAGTATACATCAATAAACCTATATGCTAGAAACTGAGGATTCAAAACCCACACAACCCATGTTTCTACGAACCTACCAGGTGAGCTTGCATAAGGTTTCTCTTCTGCTCTGTTTGTCTTTCGTCCTCCATTCTCTGCTCCCATTGATAGAGTTCTTGAAGGCGTTGGATTTCCTCTCCGTCCTTCTTGTTCTCTGTCTTTTGTCGCTCTCTTGCCAACTCGTTTACCTTGATCCTAAAGAAAAAGGATCATATTCTCATGTGAAACAAATATATTTTTAGTATTAATAGTATTTCTAGTAGTAATATTCGTCACAACCGGGAACAGTGAGGGCTGCAATAATACACTCTACTGTGGCACCATCACTCCACTTGAATTTTCATGCAATTTTTACTATACAGTAGATAAACTACAACATACCATACTGAAAACAATGCAAATGCAGCCCGCTCAAAAGTGGTCTGATGTGACACTTACTGGTTTTTCAGGTCCTCTGCAACAGCCTGTCTCTCAAGCTTCTTCTGAAGTGCTTTCTCCTGCTCCTGTCTCAGAGCTTCATCCTCTCTGGTCTTTACCATATCTGTGAATTCTTTATCCACATCTTTAGAGGCACTCTTTATTCTTTGCTTCACTTCAATCTGGGCCTCCCTCTCCTTCAGCACTTCTGTCAGCAAGAGTGCACGCTGTGGAAACAGTAAAAATCATTCTTTATGCCAAAACATCAATGTATAAATAGCCTAACAACAGTAATGCTCAAGCAACACTAACATGTAATCCTTTGACTCGGTCAGTTTGATAATACAGCTGAGTCTTGGCTTTTTCAATGGCGTCTTTACGCTTCTGTTCCTGGTATTTAGCCTCTTCTATGTCAGTCATTTTCCTTTTCTCCTCTTCAATCTGCTCTCGAATCTTCTTTGCCTCCAGCTTCTTTTGCCTTTGACCCTTTGATAAATATGAACACACAAAGTAAGTTACGGTTTCGTTTTACCGCAGGATATTGTGCTTTTTGTAACCTCTCAAACACATCTGGAATCAATGCAAAAACCCTGTACAGACAACTTACAGCGATGGTATTGGACCACAGCTTCACTGCCTCTTTTGATTGGAGGTGCAGGGCTTCTCTCCGGTTCGCTGCCTCTGTCATTCTCTCCTTGTCTTTATTAACCCGGTTCAGTTCACCTTGAATCCTCAGCCATTCGGCCTTGGTTAAGACCGTGACTTTTCGGAGATCAGGTGGCTGGATCATCCTGCTGGCTTCTTCTGCTGAAGACGCTATTAAAAAGGGAGGGAATTGCCCCAGGTAGACCTCCTGTAAATTGATCACTAAATCCAGAGCACAGTATCTTTATGGGAACTGAATATGCACCATGAATTTTAATAATACATGCAGTTGAGGTCTTTCCAGATTAATAATTTAAAACAAAGACCCTTACTTTATATAAAATATATTTACTTCCTGTTCTATTTCCTTTTATGTTAAAAAGGTGTAACAGCTGTCTGCCAAACACTGTCTGGTTTATATTTATATAAACAGGGCCATAGTTACCACAAAGAATTTGGGGATTTTAATGATTGGAACAGTTTGCATTCTGTAATTAGCAGTAGGTTTGAATTGAATCATTCATTAAGGTCCTGGATTGATATGGGATCAAGTAGGAAAGTGTCTTCCAACATTATACATTTGCATTTAAATGATATATGGCCAACAGCGTGACCCCCTCACCAAGGTGATATCATTTTTGCTTAGTTTTTCTTTTAATTAGCCTATACCTGAGATAATATGGCAGACCTTTTGATCACCAATAAAGAAAACTTTACAAACATTTTTGGGTGGACAGTCAAAAAAAATCCTCATGAGATGGGATTGCAACTAAGGACTTGGACTCAGTATTTAAAAAAAAAAAAAACCTATGGCCTTGACTTGTATATGAGAAATATGACTAAATACAAAAATAATACTGATTACTATAAGCAAGAAACAATAATATCGCTGTTGCACAATTGTGTGGGAAGGTTGTTTTCTTTTAAAAACTTGGTACATGTTTGCTCGTTGACATGACAGGTAAATGTTTTGACAATGTTTTGTTTTCACAGCTACTCTGACACTGTTCTGCATTTTAATAAAGACTCTCGTACAGTTCTTGGTTAATATTACAGATTTTCCAGACTGCTGTCATGTTGCCCGTCAGCCAAAACAAACAGTTATCAATAACCCAAAGCTCTCACCACTTTTACTGGACCCTCTCCGTCGGCCGTGCTGAACCACCGATGTCATTTGTGTTTGATATATCTAAGTATATCTAATTACAGTAAAATAGCAAAAGCGAAATAGAGCAGCCGATAAGGAAATGTTTACTGTAGCTAACGTTATATACACACAGCTCTGTCTGTCCGCGTTTGTTGCGCTGTATCCAGGCAACGGATGACTTTTTGCTGATTAACGACAGGTGGCGCTGTGTGTCACCAAGTATATACATGTTTGAATGTGACACAATAAATATGATTTTTTTCTACTCACTCTCGACTCTCATCCATATACAGTCCTCAGACCGTCTATAAATCGTATATATCTTGTGTATACACACATGCATATATAATATATAAAATATAAAATATATAAATCTTATATATAGAGTCAGTACAAGTCACAATATTACTGGCACCTTTGAGATGTTTTAAGAAATAACTGGATTTCTGGCAGTTGATGCTCCTTTAATTTGTAACTTAATTAAACTCACCTGTGTAAGCCGTCTGTATAAAAACAGTTCAGCTGCTTTAAGGATCCCCTGCAGAGGTGTTTTAAGACATGTAAAAATATTCTATGTCTGATATGGGTTTTTTTTCAAAAGGTTTACTCATTGCAGAGAATGGGAGGAACAGGACATTTCCCGCAGGTTAATTTGGATTCATGTGGCCAAACTGTTTTCACTCAGTGACATGACAAAAGAGTTGACCTTGTAGTAGAACTCCTATAGGTTCATACTCAAATCCAGATAGCTTATTCTTTGTTGTCGCTTTGCTACTCGTATTCAGGGAAACACGACCAACAAGTCTCCAGTCCATCACATCTGGTTAAGATGAATATATAGACATTATTAGACCCATATATTTTAATTCTGCACAAACACAAATTACATGCATTTTAAAATCTAGTGCTGAAAACAGATATTTGTTTGACTGTGATAGACACGTTATAATACTGAGCTAACCCTGAAATAAGAGGACTGTCATGTGCAGCCTAATGAGTCAGGTGATGAACAGTGTCTCTTGAATTAAGACTGAAAAAAAAGAACTCGTTTGACCTGACAACTGTTGAATGGAAGAAGCAAGCTTGTTGTTCCTTAGAAGGATGAAAGTTATTTCTGTTGTACATTAGAATAGCTTCATGTGAACTGATAGTGTGTGAGTTTATGGTGATCACATTTGTCCTATGGTATCACCATAACATTACTTTTGTCTTCTATCCTGAAACAAATTACAAGATATGGTTCTTTGCTCAGTCTTGACTTAACTTAAGTACTGTACTTCATTACGATTTTTAGGTATATGCATTTTATGATTCTGGATACTTTCAGTCCACTACATTTCAGTGGGAAATATTGTGCTATTTTCTCCACAACATTTGTTTGACAGCTGGAGGTGCAGGTTACTTTAAGATTACACAGCAAAAGTTTGGCAATCTCTCAGCAAATTCCATATTTTGTTGATTTTTGAAGCAAAAATGAGTAAATACAACCCTTGCAGCAAACACAAAAAATTTGACTCTTTCAAATGTTAATGAACTGTTACTTTTTTTATTTCATGTTCTAATAAAGACTGAAAAAAATCTGCAAAGAATAGTGGGTGAAAACTCCTTGGTTTGGTACGTAATATGAAATATGCACAGCTACATATAACATCATTAAAACTGCATCTCTGTCAACCAGCTACAACCTTAAATGTTGCTTTCATGTTAATGCATCAGTAATAATAGTGACCCCAAATATACAAAATATAGTTAACAATAATATAACCTAACACTATACTCCCTGCATGAGTACTTTTTATTTTTGATATTTAAAGTACACTTTTGCTGATAATAATTATGTGCTTTTACTTACGTAACATTTTAAATGCAGTACTTATGCTTGCAGTGAGTACTTGTGATATTGATATTTTTATGGTAAAATACACTGAATACTTGCTGATAATTATGTCAAACCGGTCTGGAGTCTGGATGCAGCTGCGTCAGAGCAGGAGATGCATGAGAGGCGGGTTTACTTTGAAAGGGGCTGTCCTAAATCCGAGATAACCATTCAAAACCAACAGAGGGAAAAGCTACTCCCCGTGTCCATCACCTCACCAAGGCATCAACCATTCAACACAAGTTACCCACCAAATAGCAAAGCCGGAGAACAAACTCCAAGATGGCCCCGATCTCCATCAAAACTGTCCTAATCAGTGAAAGTGTGGACCCTCGCTGCAGGACGATTCTGGAGGAAAATGGCATCCGCGTTACGGAGAAGCAGAACATGAAAAAGGATGAATTACTCGCGGAGATAAAGGTAAGGGTGGCACTCTGTATTGCACAATTGCTTTCACATGCACCGGTTGTCATTTTGTCCTTACGCAACATGCACACGTTTTTGAATCATGTTTTTTTTTTTTAAAAACTGTACTCGCTTTAGTTACAGCCGTTTTTCAAGCTCATGTGATTTGTCGCTGCACTTGTCTCAGGAAAGTATTTTTTAAAAAGGCAGAAACCAAAGAGCACTTGTGTGTGTGTTTTTTGTTTTGTTTTTTGTTTTTTGTTTTTCTACCAACTTTGATGAAGGGCGTGTGAACTTTGATTTGACACTTTTCTCAAGCTATCTACTCAGCACAGACTGCATATGAAAAAGTACTCATTCTAGCTTAGTACCGCCCATTGGGAAGCTGATGCAACTCATCCCCGACTTTGCCGGTTCTCCCATCACTGCTTCACACAGCAAACTGGCAGCTTTTTTATCAGAGTCTTTGTGTGTGTAACAGAAGCAAATATTTGCTTTGCACAAATTAGACTTGTCAAATAAGAAGCAATGGGATCTAATGGAACTTTTCTCATGCAAACTAAAAGGATGGTAGTATTTTGCACTAGCTTCAGGGCCACATTCATTGCTTGACTCTTGGGCCCAGGGGCAAAAATTAGATGAAGGGCCCCAGTTGTCCGCTGCCCCTCCTCCTGCACTATGGCAGCCATGACTAGGGAAAGTGATGAAATACTTTGATGACAATAACATGCAGTTCAAGATATGTGGTGTTAAACTTGCATATCATGTTCTCCGACGGCCAAACAGTAAGCTTGGTCGTATTTCTTTTTTTACAGTAAAAAAAATACATATATGATTTGCGAGTAATCAAGTACTCGTTCATAAGGTAATGAGAGTACTCGATTATTGAAATTACTGAAAATGCCCATCTCTAATATAGTGATAAGGTGACACCATTGGTTGAGTGTTGGAGTTTCCCCATTGGTCGTTGCTTTTTCAAAAATGATTTGACGCAAACAAGCAGTATTGCCAACTTAGTCCCTTTTGTTGCTTGATAAACTGACTTTTCAAACCCCATTGGCAACAAAAAAAAGCACCTAGCAACAAATCTAGCGACTTTCTGGACAAACATTAGCTACTTTCTGTAGAAGAGAATTGCCAGTGTTGTCCTGCTTGCAAGAGGTCGGTCTTTCCTCAGCAAGCACACCTCTCTATGCTGACTGCACAGCATTTGACATGAATGAGCTTCAGACTTTCTCTCTGAGTGATCATTTTACAAGTAAATATAGCTGAAATCACAGCATAGCCGTTGTGATGGTATGGTGACTTTGACAGACGACGTCAGGGTTATATAAGGGCACAGATGAGGTAATAAATCATGGATTTTTATGGCTCTTATCGTGTCCATTTCATCTTGTGCTGTTGTGGTGCAAGTTACTAAAAACTTTGCATTAAACATAGTACCACAAAGTAATTGACACTCAGTGAATCTGTGTCCATAGGGTTCCTTAAAAAATTGGGATCACGGGGCAATTCGCTGCATTGCATGGTTGTTAATTCAGCCTCGATGAGATTAACCACAGATATAAAACAGCTTGAGATCAACAATGTGCCTTTCTCACCCTCCCAGGACTATGACGGCCTGGTGGTTAGATCTGCAACCAAGGTAACAGCTGATGTTATAAATGCTGCTAATAATCTCAGAATCATTGGGAGAGCTGGTACTGGTGTGGACAATGTGGATGTTGATGCTGCTACCAGAAAGGGTATTATTGTCATGAAGTAAGTCTCCAGTCTTTGACTTTGCATAAATTTGACTTATAGTACAGTTTCAGTATAATGTACCGTCCAGTAACTGTGCACTGTTTTCTGCAGCACACCAAGCGGTAACACGATCAGTGCTGCAGAGCTGACATGTGCCCTGCTGATGAGCCTCTCAAGGCAAGATGAGTCATGTCTTTTTGAGCTATTGTTAACATGTTCAGTCTTTTTGATTGCACATACAGTACTGTAAAAATCAATAAGTCAATGTGTTTTCAGAAATGTGCCTCAAGCTGCAATGTCGATGAAACAAGGGAACTGGGATCGCAAAAAGGTAAGCAGAGATTTTGGTTTGGCCCCGTCTGCTGTTTGAATGACTGTTTGCAGTTGGCACACAAAGCAAATTTACAGTTGCATGGTCGACTCCATTGTTCACCCGGTCGGCAATAATATGATGCGACACTTGGATCTGTGCAGTTTTAGATTCGTAATCAGGGTCTTTGTTTTGTCTCTAATTTTACAGTTCATGGGTGCAGAGCTGTATGGCAAAGTGCTTGGAATCGTTGGACTTGGAAGAATAGGAAAAGAAGTCGCCTCAAGAATGCAATCATTTGGCATGAAGGCAAGTAAAGAGATTACAGTGTGACAAGCATGTACTCGCAGTTCTCAGCCGTTAATTGCTCTGTAACATTTAGTTGGAACAAACATGTTGATAAAAAATGTTGTTGTTTTTTTTCTTGTCAGACTATTGGCTATGATCCAATCACTCCACCTGAGGTGTCAGCCAGCTGGGGGGTGGAGCAGATGCTTCTGGAGCAGCTTTGGCCCCAGTGTGACTATATTACTGTCCACACTCCCCTAATGCCCTCTACTGTGGGTGAGTTTTACTCACGCCCTCCCCACTGAGCAGTCACGTTACTACGTTGTTGGCTGATCACATGGCTGTCACACATTGTACTTGCGAGTTGTAGAATTCACTTTTCGTTTTTTTGTTTGTTTTTTGTGTTGAAGGTCTGCTTAACGACGAAACATTTGCTAAATGCAAGAAAGGAGTGAAGGTTGTGAAC